ATTAACAAGAATTTAGGAATTTACTAATTTAAGTAATAATATCTAATTTGTACTACAGATTATGAAATTGATCTACTATAATACTATATATAATAATAAAATATATAATAATTAATAATAAAATAATACAGATATGAATATAATAATAAAATATATAAATATATAAATTAATAAATATAAAAATAAACAGAGGTAACAACACTATAATTATTTTGTTTAAAAAAGTCTTTGCTGAGACACATTTTTTAATATCACAAGGAACATAAATTAACAAAAACTGAGATTTATTAAAGCACGAAATAGAGGAAATTGATTGGTCAAAATTAATATCGATTTCTAAAAATGATACTTATCCAAAAAAGAAAAAAAATTCTGATACCAATGGTGAGAATTACTGTTGATGAGCTTTAGCAATACTCAATTAATAAAATATTATTTATTTATTGCAGTTTTTAAATTAGTGTGATTATTTAAATATAATTGAAAGGTATTATAAACAAGATCATGTGCATGATCTTTAAATTCAGCCAATAAAATTTCACATAAATTTTTAGTATGTGATAAGTATGCGAGAATATTAATTAGAGAAAACTTAACCTGAACCCCAGGATTTAAATTGTTTATCCTAGACCCTAGGGGTTTAGGTTATTAGATCTGGACCTCTTTCCTAATTCAGAAATACTAAAATTAGAATTTTTAGTTTCCATATTACATTTGTATATTGTAACACGGTATACAAAATTTTATTTGATAAATAATATAACGCGTTTGCATATTTTGTTTTTTGTTTTCTTTCGCTTAGTAATTTGTTTGTAGTACTATTATCTTAAAACAATGACAACTTCAGACTATCAACCTCAAATAAATAATATATTTGAAAGTCATGACAACTTTGTAAATAAAATTAAGAACTATGAATATAAATTAAGATTTATTATTAGACTTGGAAAAGTTAAATATTTAAAAAAAGAAAAAACTATTTGAAAAAGGACTTTATTATGTTCAAGATTTGGTTATTCTGAATCAAAAAAAGAACAAAACTCTGAAGAAGAAAATTTAAGTAACAAAATAAAAGGACAAAATAAAGTATCTCAATGTTGTGGTTATCTATTTTTTATTTGTGCTTCTTTAAATGATAATAATGGGTAATGGTATATTATTAATATGAATTTTACTCATAATCATCAAATGATTAATGAAAATTATCAACAATTTATGTCTAACGAACGAAGTATTCCAGAAGAGATTAAACAATGAATAGAATTGTTATATCATGCTGGTGTAAATGTTCCAACAATTTGTGCAATTTTAAATCAAGAATTTGGTACTCATGTTACATGGATATATAATGATATTTATAATTTTATTTATTAATTAGAAGATTGTGGAACAAAAAAAAAAGAATTTGAAACTGAAAATTTTATCAATACTTTAAAACAATTTAAAAATGAAAATAAGGAATTTCTTTATCATACAGATATTAATATTAGTACAAAAAGATTGGAGTGGGTAATTTGGATGTTTCCTGAGCAGTTAATAAATTACAGTAGATTTAATGATGTAATAGTTTTTGATAATACATATAAAACCAACCGTTTTCATATGCCATTTGGAATTTTTACAAGTGTTAATAATTATGGATATAGTATTTGTTTTGCAGGTACATTAATGATTGATGAAACAGAAGAAAATTTTTTATGGATATTTACTAAATTTTTAGAAATGGTCAATTAACATGTACTTAAAGTTATTCTTGCTGATGATGATCGTGCTATGGCAAATGCATACACAAAGGTTTTACAACCTTTAGGTACAAAACATCATTTATGTCAATGGCATTTAATGAAAAACGTTATAAAAAATTTAAGTTCAAAACTTAATACAAACTGGTCAAATTTTATTAAAGATCTTTACAAATGTCTTGGTGAAATAGATAGTTCTGATTTTTTTATACAATGGGAAGCATTAAAAATATCATATTCGCCTACATCAGATTATTTAATAAAAATGGAAAAAACAAGAAAAATGAGCTGCATGTTATAATCGTGATACTTTTATGGCAGATATGACAACAACACAATGTGGAGAATCTATAAATAATATGATGAAAGGTTATCTAAATGCAAGTACATCACTTGTGACATTCATTAATGCATTTCAATCAGCATTAGATGTACAAAATAAAAAAACAGAATTTCGTATTTATCAACAAGATAATTTTAATATTTTATACAAAACTACAAGTCCATTTGAATATCAATGTGCATCAATTTTAACTACATTTGCTTTAAAAAAAACCCAAGAACAATTATTACAATCATTTATGTATACTTGTAAAGAAATTTCAAGGTAATATATTTAATTGCTAATTCGTCACTCAGTGGTACAAAATGATCTGCAATCTATAATAAACTATATCGGAAAATTACATATATTATCTTATTGCTCCCAAATGTCAATTGCATAGTTCACATTCATGTCACAACAGTTTATAAATCTTATAACAGAAGGTATTTTGGTTTCTGACTTACATTATGGTGTGTTTGTACGAAATTGGTGGGTTCAAAAAACTATTAAAAATAGTAAAAATCAAATTTTACCTATTTCTTATCGCCTATATATGCGCGTTACCTGTAAACTTAATAATGAACTATTTACTCTTTCCATTGTTCAAAGTATAACAAATCCATTACAACTAGGATTTGTTTGTACATGTAAAGAAAAGAGTACAGAAATAATGACATCCACTTCTGCAGCAAAAATACTTTATATCAAGAAATATTTGAACGAAAAACTGAGTATTCAGAACTAACAATAATGGGATTTTATAATAATAATATTGTAGAAAAATTATTAGTAGATGTAATATTTTTTCCAATATTCATTAGTGTAGAGCCTTTTTCAGTTGTAATTACAAGTATTGGTTATTCAGATAATAATGAACTTAATGGCGCAGGGAGTGGATTTTCTTCATCAATTATAACTAGATTTCAGGGAAAGCAGTCTATTATTTTACAACAAATTAAAAATAATGTATGCGTTCTTGATATTTATCAAGAATCAAAAAAAATCATTCAATATCAAGATGAAACACCAAATAATGTATGGAAAAAATCTGGAATTAATAAAAAATATAATGGAAATGATTTATTTGGAATTACACATCCAATTGTACAATCTATTTTACACCAATCTCCCATTAACCGTCATATATGCATGCCAAATGAATGGAATAATTCTGATTATCTCCAACAAGCATTTGATCGACATATAAAATCAAGAAAAATCACAACATCAATATTATTAGATTGGAAATCATTATTTGATGATTGGTTACTTCAAAAAAGTACAATTATTCAAATTCCAAAATCATTACAAAAAATTTATCCAAATAATTATCAAATTTGTGAAAAAGAATTACGTGCATGGAAAGTTATGCTCAAATCCTGTGGATGTTCTGATGTTACTCCATTTGAAAAAGATGTATCTGATATAGAATTTTGGAGTAGGGCAATAGATCCAAGTGGTGATAAAGAAACTTTGTTTATTTTTATTTTTCAATTGAATTAATGTCGAATTATAAAAATCTAAGAATTTTCTGGAGTTATAGATAATAGTGATTTATTTTGGGAAAATTTTCAGGTTGCATTAAAAAATAATAAACGTGGAATAGCTGGAAAAATTCGAATTTTATCTATAATTGCTAATAAATTTTGTTATAAAGATCTTAGAGAAAAATTACAAGTTTGTACAATATTTATTTTATTTATCATTAAAATTATTTATATTTATATTTTTATTTATTTTATTTATCAATCAAATAATTGAAATTATTTATATATTTTATTTTTATTTTATTATTTACATCAGGAAATTTTAATAGGCGAAAATTTTCGCGAGTTTTTTTACATTTTTTCGAGTTCGCTCACGATTTACGGAACGTAGAGCAATTTTCTACTAAGATATTTCTAAGATAGAAAGAAAGGCCTTATTATTGGCTACAAAATGATATGTATTTCATTTCGGTAGCATCGATATTCGCGGAGTTATTCCGGTTTAAAAAAACGTCCGTGAAAAATTCGGGCAAATTATTTGCGCAAGATTTTCATCCGATTTTCACGGACGTTTCACGGACGTTTTTTTTTAATCCGGAATAACTCCGCGAATATCGATGCTACCGAGATGAAATACATATCATTATGTAGCCAAGAATAAGGCCTTTCTTTCTATCTTAGAAATACCTTAGTAGAAAATTTTTCTACGTTCCAAAAATCGCGAGTGAAATTGGAAAAACGCAAAAAAACTTGTGAAAATTTGTACAAATTTTTGCTATTAAAATTTCCTGTTGTATATTTTTATTTATTTTATTTATTGATCAAATAATTGAAATTATTTATATAATTTTATTTTTATTTTATTATTCAAATTTTAAAAATTGCAATTACTAATAAATTTTTATTTTTGTTTTTTTTTTGTAAAATTATAAATTATTTTATAATGTAGGTTGGTTCAACAAGCATCAATTCAGCATGTAAACATGCTAGACTTAATGGTCCAGGTGCACCACCTATTTCAAAACCTCAACGAACAGTTCATTATATGTCTGAGATTAAAGAAAAAGAATTTGAACTTTTTTTTCAAGACAAAAGTAATGTGTCTATGAGTTCATATAAAGTAGATGCTAAAACAAATTTACCAATATTGTATTTACAAGATCAAAAACAAGCATTGTGGTACAAATTTGAAGAATTATATCCTAATGGTATGAAAAAAACTTCTTTTATGGCAAGGTTAACTAATTGTAATCATATAAAATATCAGGAAGATTTAGGTGGATTGTGTTCAATTTGTAATGATTATGGATTTGAAGCATTTCAAAATTTAATGGCAATTGTTCGAAATACTTTTATGACAAAATAATATTAGTAAGTCAAATGTATTTATTAAAAACAAATATCTTTAGTCATATCAAATAACTAATAATCTAATTTTTAATTATTAGAATAGTGTTATTAATAGAATAGAGTTATTAATAGAATAGAAAAACTCAGAATGCATATGAAACGAAATTTTGAACGTGAATTGGCAATTAGTAAAGATGGAACATTATCTCATGATGAATGCATAAACCATTGTCTTTTATATGCATTTGGAGAGTGTAATCAATATCATATTTCTCGTTATATTAATTGTGATGAATTTTTTGAATTTTTCAATTTTTTATATTTACATATTTCTTTTGAACAAAAAAATTTATTAGATCAAATAAAGGAGCATCTAAAATATTTTCTTTCTCATCAAGCTAGAAAAATATTTCTGAATGCTCAATTTAAATCATCTTTAGCACAATTGGATGAAGATGGTGCTTTACTTATAGCAGACTATAAGATGCGTGTATTACCTAAGTCAGCACGTGAAACTAAAGAACAATTCTTTGGAAAAAGAGGATGGACTCTACATACTATTTTAATTTTTATAAAAAAAAAAAAATGAAATTTGTCTAGATGTCAATGCATATGATCATTGGTCCACTGATACTAAACAAGATGCCTGGTTTACAGCATCTTGTTTTGAAGCTGTTTTTGGATCAATAGAAAAAAAACCAAAATGGATACGTATTATCTCAAATAATGGTCCTCATTATCATAACTCTGAATTAATATCAATTATTGCTCATTGGTATGATTGGTATCAAATACATGTACGTAGTTGGTTATTTTTAGAACCAGGTGAAGCTAAAACTACAATTGATAGTCATCACGCTTCGGTAAGTTTTATAAATTTTATAAATTTTGTTATTGTTTATATAAAATATTTTTATCAATTTATAATTTTTATTAGATCACACATGCTATAAAATGTTATATTCGAATTGGATATGATATAAAAGAAGGTCAAGATATAGTAGAAGCTGGAAAGAATATTGCTGGAGCACATTTTGCAAATATTGAACCAAATAGAATTGAACAAGAAATAAATAATGATTCAGGAAAAAAAAAACCTAAGGTCAAAACGATACCAGGAATTTCTAAATATTTTTATTGGGAATGGCCAATTGATACACCATTAGAAGGTTATATTCAAGCTCGTCCACTTCCTCATATTGGTTCATGGACACAATTTTCACCTGCTATAATTTCTTAATTATGTAATGATCCTATTGAACGACCACAACCCACGGTTTCAATAAATACTGATGCTTTTCAAAAGTGGACAATGCCTATGCCTCAATTAAACGGTATTTATAAAGTTATTTTTATTCTTATTTTTATATTATACTTTATTTTTTATACTCATATTATTTATAAATATTAGTTGATATCGATATAGAAGGTAAATAAAATAAATATTTCTAATTGGATTGATTTTTTAAAAGTTAGTTTATTTATTAATTCGAAACTCTAATATTATTATAATTTAATCAAATTTTATATAATTGAAAAATTAATAAATTTGCATTGTGTTGTTAATTACTATCTTAATATTTATTATTTTATTTAATTAATAAAAAAATTACATATTTGTAATTACAAGAATTAATTCATCTAAAAATTAAATACTCAATTTAATCAATAATAAAAATTCACTTTTTTTGTAGCAACGGTAATTATATATCTAAATTAGTTTAAAATAAATAAAACAATATTGAAATTAATATCCTTCACTTTCTTCTTTTTCATTTCCTCATCATTCTCTACTATTTCTTCGTCCCCTTATATTCAAACATCCTCTTCTTTTTTGATCACTCTTTTCTTCATTTAAACATCTTTCTTTTTCTTCCTTCCCTTTTTCCTATTCTTCCCTTATCCTTTTCTCTCCCAAAATTTTCTTTACTTATTCGTTTCTACCTCTCCTCTTCCATTAAACTTCATCTTTTATGATAGTAATTTTAGTGATTTCAATATCGGCAATTTTGTTTTAACGATTTCAGTAAATTCTTTTTTTCCACTTCTCTCTCCCTTTCTATTTCTTTTACTTCTTCTATCTCCTCCCTTACATTTGTTTCTTCCATTAAACCTCTGCCAGTTGTAATGACGGTTTTTGATAATTTTAGCATCGACGATTTTGACATTGACGATTTCAGCAATTACAATAGTTTCTCTTTCCTCCATTTCTCCCTCCCTTTCTACTTCTTTTACTCTTACCCCCTTACACTCGCTTCTTTTACTCTTTTTTCATTAAGATTTTGTCTTTAATGATGGTGATTTTAGAGATTTCAGTATTGACAATTCCAGCATCGGCAATTTTTTTACTTATAATTTATAAGTTATTGTTATTAAAAAAAAAGTTTGAAGTTTATTATGGAAATTTTAGTTATTACTAAAAAAGACGGGGTCTAGAATAATTTGTCTGAACCCCGGGAATTCATGATTTTCACCTTGAACTAGGGGTCCAAAATAAGGACACTCTTTTTTTACGACTTCCATATTTTCAAATTTCACATGACCTAATTGCCACATGTCTTTTATTATTAAATGTAATTGTTTCACTTTTCCAAAATAATTAAGATGTAACATCAAATCATTTCTCTTTATATATAGAAGAATATTCCAAATTTTTTATTTGTGTAATTTATCATATTTATTAGGTAACTGTTCTATTACATCTTGCATATAAATGTGATTTTTAGTATTCTTTTGATTTACTTTTTTTGCTTTTTGTATTTCTTCTTCATTTAAAAGATATATTACTATATTTTTAATTTTATTGCTTATTTTAATTTTTTCAAGAATCACTTCAATTTGATTTTTAGGTTTCTCTACAAATACTTTTTTAACTCTATCATTTTTATTCTTTTTACTTTTTACTGTTTCAAATTCTTCCTTAATATATAAGTTATCATTCTCTTTACCATCTAAAATTTCTTTATATTTTAGTTCTGCCACAAATGAAACATTTACTAATATTTATTTCTGTTTCTTCTTCAAATGACTCTCTAATAGCTCTTTTTTTACTTGCGTGCACTGGTACCAAAAGTATCTTTATTTTTTTTTTATATTCATAATTATATTATTTTCATTTTGTATATTACTAGCTGTAAGAATAAAATTCATATTTTCCTCATTTTCTTGGTTGTTGTTATCATCTTGTTGACCAGAAATACTTCTGATATTGTATTTATGTTTTTTCTTATCCATACGAGTAAAAAAAATAGAAAAATAACTAAGTTTTATATGTAACTACAGTAAAAAATTATATTCCTCTACTGTAAAAATATTTGATACAAGTGATCGATAGAAAGAGTTTATTAATTTTTATTAATTTTAATTTTAATTTTAATTTTAATTTTGACTTTTATTTTAATTTTAATTTTTATTTTTAATTTTGATCTCCATTTTAATTTTTATTTTTATTTTTAATTTCGACTCCCGTTTTTAATTTTAACTTTTATTTTAATTTCAACTTTTATTTTAATTTCGACTCACATTTTAATTCACTGGTCAAAAATTGATAAATCATACACACATCAGGTACCCAATGTATATATGATTTATCAATTTTTGATCAGTGATTTTAAAATATCAAAATTTTGAAATGGTATTTTGAGATCAATTTTGAAATATTTATATTTTAAGTTTTGGATCTCAAAATAATTTTGCATGCAAGTATAGTTTAGATCTTTCACATGTTAATGTTCATTTTTTACCTTCAAATATAACTTCAAGAATGTAGCCAATAGATGTTAAAATTATTATAACTTTCAAAAAACATTATCATAACTATTATCACTGGTCGAAAATTGATAAAACATACACATATCGGATACCCGATATATGCATTGTACATCCCTAATATCGGGTGTATATCGAGTACCCGATATATGTAAAAAATATTTTATATATATATCGGGTACCCGATAAGTGTAAAAAAATATTTTCTATACCTATCGGGTACCCGATATATACCCGATATTAGGGACATACCATGCACATATCGGGTACCCGATATGTGTATGTTTTATCAATTTTCGACC